CCTCCTCGACCGGTCAACAGACCGGTTCTGCCTTGTGGGTATAATATCCCATATCATATACCTTATGAAAAACTTAGAATTGGATGATATACTACCAAAACTAAAATATTGCAGGTCGAAAACCTATAGCTTAGACAACGAGATAAATGTACTGAAATACAGTTAAACATGGTTAGATGTCTGAGTAGCATAACAAATGAAAACCAAAGCAAACCTGGAGAACCGAAACTAATGATATAGCTGTTCCAGTAAGGGATGGAGGAATTAACAACTCCGAGGTAGGATTAGCAGAATAAGCTGAAGAAGATGCAGAAAGGACCTTCAAAATCTAGAGAGAGTGAGAGAGAGGACAGCCCAGAAAAAAAAAAAGTACACATATCAACATACTGAAACTTATTCACACTCTGTTACTCTTGCTTAAAAAAAAACACAACAAACACAACAAGCTTCCACATACCAAGCTATTTTCAAGATTCACTGAATGTCCAATCCCTTTAAAAAGGACCGGGGCCTGTTCCACAAACATAAAGCATGCATTAATAAATGTCAGCTGGCATATTGAAACTGATCACTGATGTTCACGAAAAGCTCATAACATGTAAAACAGGAATACGGATGATAAATTTCTTATTGGGGCAAATTATTGGGAATAGATCTTAATCGATCAGGTTGTACATGAATGTGAGGGATGGACAAAGATTATGATGATCCCCAGAAGACGCAAGCAGAAATATAGCAGTAGACTTTTCATAAACTGACCTTTATTTTACTACTTCCAAGAATAACATCAGACTGAATATAACCATCCGAAGCAATTAAGGTATGGTCTCCTGCAGTTTCAGAGACAGCATAACCAGTGTGATCAATGACCACGGCAGACGGGTCCTGCAAAACAGAAAATTCCTGTGACAATATGAAATTGAAAGTGAAATATATAAAATCAAGTGCAAGTACTGGATAATTAGGCTAAGGTTGTGAAAAAAAAAACACAGATAGGTAGATAAACAGAGAGATATGCAAACAATGTTCCATTAAACGCAACATATATAACTTTAGAAACTGATGCTAGTCACAAAAGTTAGTGATTTCAGAAAATAATTAACAATCTGGAGAGGAGTTGGCATAAAAATATACACACAAACAAAATGGGAAATAAATAACCTATGGAGTGCCATTGCATTATGGTGATTAAAGAATGGTGAGTTGGGTGAATATATGATAATCCGTGTGAATTATTACAAGTTTACTTATGTCGTTCTTGGCAAAATAGTTGTAACTCAATCCATGATCCTTTGTTGTTTGCTCCTCTTAGAGGAAAAAAAATAACTGGGAAAAAATGAGAGTAGCAAATTAACATGAGGGGAAAAAAGAGATTCAAGAGAGTTGACTTTTTAGCTCTTCGTAGAGACATATAAGTAATAGTTGTCGTTGTCCTTGAACCTGCCTCCATGCGATAAAATTCACCAGCACCAGACGAAATAGAGACGTGCAACAACGTCAAACCGTGCCGTGCAAGCCATACCGAACGAAGTCGCTATTTCTGTTAAAGTGAGAAAGTTCAAGCCCTTTAAAATTTTTCACCCACAATTGTTTTATATTTCAAGAAAGTAATCCAAAAAATGAGTTTTTATTCACAAATAATATATGGCATTATTCAACAACAAAATAAGAAAAAAGCTTGCAACATGTGGAAAAATATGCTTACTTGGAACAACTGATAGCATTAATCTCTAATTGTCCGCATACTAATCCATGCTACAGGTGCTCCAAGTCCAAGAAACCAACACACTAAACATGCCCTGAAAATTTCATTTGATGATACAAAAAAACCAATGAAACACAAACAATACAGTTACTACAGGCTGCTGAATGACATAAGACGTACGCATATATCTCATACATTCGACAGATGAAACTCAACAAAGAAAGCAAAGAAATAAATGGTGTTGGGTAAGTCTGATGGTGTAAGATTTCCTGCAAAAAAAAAAAAATGTGTTACTCCCAACGCCCTTTTTATCAATTCAACTTAATAATCCACATGGAACTCCAACAAGGTATGTCTGAGTGAAATACAGCATATTACCCGTTCTCAAAACGACTTTTGCAAGAGCATAAATGAGAAGATCACTTTCCAAAGGTTAATATCCATAAATGACAAGATCACCATGTTGTCACTATATCTACTGTCAGTATATCTACAGTTGTTGCCACTATATCTACAATTATTGTCACTATATCTATAATTGTTGTAGATATAGTGACAATAATTGTAGATACAGTGACAATAATTGTAGATATAATTGTAAGATGATTTTTTTTAGCTGATTTCATCTTCTATTATACAGTTACTGAGTGATTATTCCATTATTTAGACATTTTTATTGATCTGTGAAGGAAACACGACATGGAGCTTGTGAAACCTGGTGTGCTTGTCCATCCTCTCATATTAAAAAAAAAAAGGATGATTTTCCACAATTGAATAACACAGGTAAGTACATCTTCAATTTTATTATAAATATTTAGTTTTCTAGAACAATATTGCTAGATTTATTTGCCGACGGTAAAGAAAAAAAAATAAATAAAAAGATCAGAATTAAAATTAAAAAACAAATTAGGATTCATGGGCTTTGTAACTTAGGGAAATTTACAGAATTTTAACAAACTTATCACATTTGTTTACTATATGGTTGTTATTATTATTTTTTTCGGTTTTATTTATTTATTTAACCATTGAGTTTTGTTCGTGTTCTGTTTTTT